ACACACACACACACACACACACACTCACACTCACTCACACACACATACACACTCTCTCAGACACACACACACACACACACACACTCACACTCACACACACACACGCACACACACACTCTCTCTCTCTCTCTCTCTCTCTATCTCTCAGATACACACCCAGAGATACACACACACACTCAGATACACTCACACATGCACACACACACACTCAAATACACACACACTCACACATACTCACACACTCTTTCAGATACACACCCACAGATACACACATTCACACACACTCACTCAGATACACATGCACACACACCCTTGGTTTTGGTGTTTGTGGTTAAATCAGTTGTGACACACGAGGTCACGCGGGTCAGGAAGAGGCTGACCTCATGACAGCTGGCAGGATGCCTGTGTAAACTCAATGTTAAACAAACCCCTGCAGCATGTTTATTGTCACAGTGATGATGAACTGACTCCAGACGAGGTGCATGTGATGCTAAAAGACTACTTCACAGGGCAGAGGTTACGAACAAGGTCTGGACGATGGTTTTAACTATATAACTGTTTTATGCCTGCTTCTACATCACTGCCTGTTTAGCCCCGCGCACTGATTCTAGAACGCTGTCTGTTTGGCCCCGCGCACCGATTCTACATCGCTGTCTGTTTGGCCCCGCGAACCGATTCTACATCGCTGTCTGTTTAGCCCCGCGCACCGATTCTACATCGCTGTCTGTTTAGCCCCGCCCACCGATTCTACATCGCTGTCTGTTTAGCCCCGCCCACCGATTCTACATCGCTGTCTGTTTAGCCCCGCCCACCGATTCTACATCGCTGCCCATTTAGCCGTGCCCATGTAGTAGGTAATTGACAAGAGTGGCAGAGGCAGGTCTACGCAGAAACCAAATTATAAACTTTATTTAATGAACTTTATTTTTACTGAAGTTCCAGACTGCTTGTCAGTAAGTAAACTGTAATACATTTTATTTTTCAGGATTCACAGATAAATAGAAAGTTCAGAAGAACAGCATTTATTTGAAATAGAAATCTTTTGCAACATTATAAATGTCTTTACTGTCGCTTTTGATCAATTTAATGTCTCTTTGTGGAATTAAAGTATTATTTAAAAAAAAAAAATCTTACTGACCTCAAACTTCTGTTCTGAATGGTAGTAAAGATTTTTTTAAAAAACTAAATAATAAGTGGTTTCAATAGGTTAAATATATTATTAAATATGACCTCTTAAAGTTTGATTATGCCAATGAAAGTAGGTTTTTATGAGTCAGATCCAAGGGCTTCAGTTTGGGCTAGTTTGCTCCTGCTGGTATATGCTAACTAAATCACAATGACATGTTTTTTGAAAAATATTTCATTAAACTATTCTAGATATTTTACCAGTGCCCAATTATGTTTCAGAGGCTCTTAAAAGCATAAAAGCAAGCATTTTTCCCAGTGTTTTTTGTAAAATAGTCATGGCATTTACAGCTGAACTGATCGGCTTAAGAAGTTTGCCCTTCTCTCAGCATTCATAAATTAGATTAAAATGTTGAATGGATTAAAGGTCATTCCCCCTAAGTACAAAAGACAATCATTAGGCAATAAGCTCTTTGTATTTGATCAATTACTTCCGTGACCTTACACCTTGTGGATGGATCGATGAGACAGACCTCATCTGAAGATCAGCTGCTAATAATCACAACTTCCAGCATAAGCACCCCTAAATAACCCTTTGTTAGCACTAAGCCCAAGCCAGAGATTGCATATCCGCAGTCCCGCTGCCTTTGTGCTGGCGTGGTCCACAGAAATGCTGAGAGCCAGAAAACTTGATCTCAACACCAGTGCCCTTTCTCGGGCGAGCTGTTTAAAAATAACCTCGGTGGAAAAGCCTGGGATCAGGTACAGCGGATGGGTTTCGGAAGATACGGAGAAGAGCTGCGGACACGCTGATGGATGGCAAAGCGAGGCTGACTGGTCTTTATGGACGTGCTCCGTTAGCCAGGGCTCTGATTGTGAATTATCACCCGGGGCTGATGTCGCCCGGCCGGATCACGAGGAGGAAGAGGGAGGGCGCTCTCACCTGGATACCTGGCTGGGTGAAGGTAGCTGCCATGGTTTCTTTTGCTTTGAGCTCTTAGGAAACTTCTAGAGCTGCATATAGATGCCAAGAGTTATTGTGCTGTGATTTTGTGATCATGAATGTTCTGCTTGACATTGCTGGAAACACTTGAGATGATTACAAGTGAGGTTTCTGGCTGCTGCAGTCTGCGTGTTTATTTGGCATTCGTTTTTGCCTCGTTTCTGCATATATTCAGCAGTTTTATCCATGAATGCTTTTAATTGGTCAGCAATCCAATTTAGAGCTCTTGACACACCTGCAGCCATTTGCAGCAAACTCTATGGATAATACAAAAGCAATATTAAGGCTTTCTGTGACTTAAAGGTTTGTTGTACACTGTAAAAAAGATTATTGTAGTGTGTTGTACATTAACATACTATTTTAGGATTTAAAATGTCACTTTTAATTCAATGTGTTACTTGTCTTTGGAATAAAGTGTGAAATTTACTAGTAATTTCTGAGTGATACTAACATTTATTATTATTATTATTATTATTATTAGTGTAACCGGGCCCTGTTCCTCAAAGTAAACATCTCAAATATAAATAAAATGTTTTCACTTTTAACATTCACTGTTTAAAATATAAATGAACATGTGTATCAGCAAAAGTTATTTATTAATTAATTTTTTTAGATTTTAATTTTTTAAGTTATTTAACAATAAGTTAATAATTTATAAACTGAATTTATTTAACAATTATATAAGCAGTCTTAAAGCATTTTTCTCAGAAATAATGGCAAGAAAACATTAAGTCTCTATTAAGCGTTGAGCTGCACGCAATAACATGTGAGCAGTGTAGTCTGATTCACAAACAAATGGCTCTTAAAGCTGGTCCTTTTAAGTCAAGTCAAGTCACCTTTATTTATATAGCGCTTTTAACAATACAGATTGTGTCAAAGCAACTGAACAGCATTAATTAGGAAAATAGTGTGTCAATAATGCAAAATGACAATAGTAAACACTCATTTTTCAGTTAAAGACAGTTCATCATTGAATTCAGTTGATCATATTTTCTTGACCTGGTAAGGACTCTAGCCACTGCATTTTGGACTACCTGTAGCTGTTTATTGAAGATGCAGGACAACCAGCTAGCAGTGTATTACAATAGTCCAGTCTAGAGGTCATGAATGCATGAACTAGCTTT